TAGAAACTCTATGAACTTTGATAAAAGTCAATAGTTGTAGAGGGGCTTCAAGCCTTTTGTTCATAAGGTCACTATGAGTCGTGTTCAACTTGAAGGTAATCAAGAACAGCTATATCTATCTATCTATCTATCTATCTATCTATCTATCTATCTCTATATATCTGTATCTATCTATCTATCTTCAGCTCGTTTGATTTTCTGACTCCAGCTATTTGCACATATATATGTATGTGTGTGTGTGTGTGTGTGTGTGTGTGTGTGTGTGCACTCCCGCATGCAAAGATCTGGAGTCGGAAAATCAGACGAGCTGAACTTACTTGGTATTTCTTAAGCTGAAGAAACTGAAGAACAAATTCATGCCTTGAGTTGCAATATTTAAGGATGCTATGGGCAGAATATTAAATGCCTGAGGAAGCATTAAAAGAAGGTGGAAAAAGTATACAGAGTCATTGTACTAAAAGGAATTGTCAGAGACAAAAGAATTTCATGAAACAAAATAAGAGCAAGAGCCTGTGGTGATGGAGGAAGAAGTTCAAGATGCTCTGAAAGAATCAACAAAAAACCAAGGCCCCAGGAATTGATGGTATACCAATTGACATGTTTCAACAAACAGACGCTGCCCTGGATGTGCTCACCAAGTTGTGCCAAGAAATCTGGGGGACAACCACCTGGCCAACTGACTGGAAAAGATCTATATTTGTTCCTATTCCAAAGAAAAGTCACCCTACAGAGTACAGAAATTATTAAAAAATATCATTGATGTCACATGCAAGCAAGATTCTGCCGAAGATTATCCAAAAACTACTGGAACAGCACATTAATAGAGAACTGCCTGAAGTGCAGGCTGGGTTTAGAAGAGGTTGTGGTACTGGAGATATTGTAGCTAATATTATATGGATCTTGGCTGAAAGTAGGGAGTACCAGAGGAATGTCTGTGTTTCATGGACTATGCAAAGGCATTTGACTGTGTGGATCACAGAAAACTGTGGCTGATCCTGAGAAGAATGGGAATCCCAGAACACTTGATTGTGCTTATGCAAAACCTATCCTTGGACCAGAAGGCAGTCCTCAGAACAGAGCAAGGAAACACATTATGGTTCAAAATTGGGAAGGGTGTACATCATGGATGTGTCCTAACTCCATACCTTTTCAATCTCTATGCAGAACAGATTATCCGGGAGGCTGGGCTCTATGAGGAGAAATGTGGCATCGGGATTAGATCAACAATCTGTGTTATGCAGATGACACAACCTTGCTTGCTGAAACTGAAGAGGACCTGAAGCACTTATTGCAGAAGGTCAAGGACTATAGCCTTCAATATGGATTGAAGCTCAACATCAAGAAAACAAGATTCTTACAACTGGGCCAATTGGCAGTATCATGACAGATGGTGAAGAAATTGAGATTGTTAACAGCTTTAGTTTACTTGACTCCACAATCTACACTCTTGATACCAGCACCCAGGATATTAAAAGACAGATTGCATTGGGAAAATCTACTGCCAGAGAGCTCTGCAAAGTACTGAAGAGCAACGATGTCAGTGTGGAGATACAGGCCATGGTCTTTGCAGTTACTTGCTATGCATCAGAAAATTGGAAAATGACTAGGGATGCTAGACAGAGAATTGATGCCTTTGAGCTGTGGTGCTGGAGAAGAGTATTGAATATACCATGGACTGCTAGGAGGACAAACAGGTTTGGCCTAGAAAGGGTGAGACCAGGTTGCTCCTAGGAGGAAGGATTGGAGGCAAGGATTTTGAAGCTTCATCTGACATACTTAGGACATGTTGCAAGGCGAGACCAGTCTTTGGAGAGGGACATCATGCTTGGGAGGGTGGAGAGACAGCGCAAGAGAGGAAGACCCTCTGATGAGATGGACTACCCCAGTGACTGGAGGTATATAGGGGTCACTATAAGTTGCAGGTGACTCAACAGCACATAACAACAACAGCACATAACAACAACAGAAAGATAGATCGATAGATGATAGATAGATAGATAGATAGATAGATAGATAGATAGATAGATAGATAGATAAAATAATTCACAAAAGATTATTATATATACTTCATGGATTTTGTGCCTCTAGAGAACATACCTGGTTTATGTATAAAAGAGAAAGAAACAATTTGCTTCAACCACTCTTACTTTCATTGTACTGTATTTCAATATTAATCCTAAATGTCCTTTACTTCAGTAATTCTCAAAGTGGGATCTCTAGAATAGCAGTTCTGCAGCATCATCTGAAACCCTGTTAGAAATGAAAATTCTTGGAATTCAGATACATCTAATCAGGATACACATAACCTGAGGTGCGCCCAGCTATCTACTTTAGTAAGACCTTCACATGATCATGATGTATGCTAAAGTTTAAGAAGCATTGTTATAACTTTGTTTCTCCCATAGGCCATAAGTCACAGCCAACTTGTTGTCGTTGTTAATTGCCATCGAGCTGTAGACAACTCATTGTGACCCTATGAATGAAAGACCTGAGTTTCCAGAGGCAAACAACTTTGGAAGTGGATTCCACTCCTGCTTCCAAGCTTGTTTTAATCAGGAAGCTCCACCAAACACTGTCTACCATGGGTAACCATTATCACATTTGATGCATCAGTGTCACAGTGTTTAGCATCACAGCAACCACAAGTTAGCTCTGTACAGCAATGCACAGACCAGTGCTTTACCACTTAGAAGAATGTTTGACAAAAAACCATTTAAATCAGGCCTGAGGGTGCTAGATTAAAATCACCCACCTTGGGCTTGGTAGTATAACTTTTTATCCACTAGGTCAACGTAGCTCTGTGTTGTCATTGTTATTGTTGTTAGGTGCCATCAAGTTGTAGACGACTCATAGCAACCCTATGAACTTACTTCATTATAAGATGCCCACTTTTTATTCGGAGGCAGAGCTCAGAGACATAGTAGAAGTGAAGTTTGCCACATGTATGCTTTGCATAAGTAGAGCAGAGGACAAGAGTCTGACCTGGTCATCAGTTTCTAATTTTTTTTTAATAAGTAGTCTAAGATGACCACCTATGACTCCTTCTGCTGACTTATTGAACTAAGCAAATCATGAAACTTCTGATTCTGCTCTTAAATGGTCAATCCATGATTCATCCATACTCAGGTCATTCTCATTCTAGATGATTAGCTTATTTACCCATCCATCTGCAGCACTTTCCCTTCACACCACTTCCTATAGCTTTACAAAAATTTCCTAGTGGTCTGAGCCCGTAAACTAGCCAGAATTCTACCTTCTACTGGGGGGGGCGGGGAACAACAGAAAACAAACTAATGGTGAGATAAGACCACAGGGGTAGTAATGAGGACTGTGGAAAAACAGAAACGCAGTGTTAGAGGCCAGAGAATCACCCCAGTGGGAAGGGAGAACTCTTTCGATCGAGTGGTCAAGGAAGGTCTCACTCTGAAGAGGTAGCATTTGAGCAGAGACAATGAAGAGTTCAGTCTGGAAGAAAGCAAGGAGAGAAGGAAGCAGGTGCCATGTACTGAGATGGGAACATGCTTGGGATGTTCCATAAATAGCAGAGTGTCCGGGGAAGACTAGGACAGGTTGGATGGTAGGTTGCTGAATTCAGAAAATTGGCCAAAACCAAACTGCACAGGGTGGAGGCAGACAATGAAGAGGGCTTTTCATTTTGTTCTGAATTTAATAGAAAGACATGGAAGATTAAAAAGCAAAAGGTACAGACCTTCATGCTTCACAATTCCAGGGAGAGCCATTTATAAAGACCACAAGGGGAATGAGGTTAATGAGATAGATAGACAAGGTGACTCTACACCACTATTGTTCCTGCTTATGGCCATAATCACCTCCAACAGTTGCCACAGAGTTGACCTTGACTCATGGCAACCCTATGTGGGTCAGAGGTGAGCTTTCTCCCATAGGATTTTCCACGACAATTGCAAATAGATTCCTTTTTTCCTGAGATTCCTCTGGATGGACTCAAATTGTCAACCTTTTGGTAAGCAGCTGAGTGCATTAACCGTGTGCAACCCAGGAACTCCAGACATAACCAATCAGTCATAGTCCCTGTTCACCCTGAACAGGCCTCTTCCACACAGACCCTGCTGATTTCTCAGAGCTGACTGGCAAAATCCCATTGACAAACTACAGTTAGCAATATCTTTCTAGAAACAAAACCTCTACAGAGATGCCTGGGGAAGCAGATGTAGCAGACTTGGTCATTGCTTTATTGGAAGCGGTATGCATTGGGTCACCCTATAAGCCTGGGAACCAAGTGAGATTTCAAATTGAATATTCAAGAAGTGTTCTTTGAGTTCATAGTGGCCTTGGATAGAACCACTAGTGTGGCAGTTACGCCAACGCCAGTAGCCCTGGATGATGCGGACAGCATTGAGCAGGCGACAGTAACACCGGTGGACTTGCCACATGCGGATCCAGGCCTGCACCTTCACCACTGCCCATTCTTGCATTGTGTAGTATTGCACTACCTCCCGCAGCTTCACAGACAGCTGCCTCGCCAGCTTCTGGCGCCACCAACGCTGAATGATCCAGGCGCTGAGGGCTGCATGCAACAGAGTCCTGCGCACCAGCGTGCCACGCCACCAGGCCTGAATCTTCTTGGCGTTTGCCTCTTTACTAGGCTCTTTCTGCAAAAGGAAGGAAAAAGAGAGGACACTCAGGAGATGTCCCCCACTCACCTTAGCCCTAAAGCATACTAGGAAGAGACCCTGATCTTCTGTCAGCAACCGTCCCTTTTCTTTGAGACGCAGGAGCAGTGACTGGAATCAGAAGTCCCAGCCTACCTCTACCACTCTCTGGTTAATGGGCATGCATACATTGCAATGGTCAGTTTTACATGAGTCAAGTTGGTCAGTCTAGACCAAGAAAACTATGCTTTATGGATCAAAGAGATACCATGTTCCTCTTGGGGTTGCCCATCTGCTTGGGATTCATATTTTTTTTTCAGACTCCGCTCATCTTTACTCCTAGTTCCCTGTCAATGCATAACCATGACCCATTCTCCCTCTCAGCCATGCCATGGTGTGTGGTTCCCCTACGCCACACAACTTGGAGTTCTTATCACCTATCCTCCTCATTCATCTACATTTAACATTTGCATACATGCACACGTGCTATCACACAATTTCTTTGGAATCACACAAAACTAAAGAAACACATCTAGAGATCTGGTGGCCTAGTGGCAAGAAGCTGTGCTGCAATCCCAAAGGTGCATGCTTCAAATCCACTAGATGTTCTGCTGGAGAAGTAGGGGTAATCTCCTCCTGTGCCAGTAGGATCTGATTTGTCAGTACACAAGAAGAAGGGGGGAAAAGAAAAAAAGAAACAGGGGAGCTCTGGTGGCCTAGTGGCAAGAAGCTGCAACTACAATCCCAGAGGTGCACGGTTCGAATCCACCAGATGCTCTGCTGGGGAAGGAGGGGCAATCTCCTCCTGTACCAGTCAGATCTGATTTGACGGTACACGCACACAAAAATAATAAAATTAAAAAAAAAGAAACAGAGTGGATGGTTGAGGGGAGTGGGGTGTTACTTGTAGGGTTGCACAGTTTAACAGGTGGGTGGAGGTGAAGGAAATGAGAAGGCTTGTTTGTGAAAAACAATGTATTCAAACTTTGTAAAGTAATCAGTATAAAATGTTTTTTAAAAACACCCAACACATCTCCAAACACAACCCTCACCAATGCACTCATTAACCTTACATAGTCTGGCTCCCATTTTTTTAGGGTTTCCTTTCCTGACTACCAACTCTTCATATCTCAGCACCCATATTTCTCAGACTGAGAAGGAAATGGTAGAAGAAGGGGCAAGGATAAGTCAATCTCCATTCATCTCAACTCTGGGTCACAAAATCATTCATCTTGTTTCATCTCAGACATTCTCAGTTTATAACTGGCTCCTAATAACTCATACCACCACCATTCACTCACCAGTGGATCCTACTGGATGATAAATTCCATGATCACCTAATGCTATGGACACCAGAGGACGTAACCCAACACTGATTATGATACAGGTCAGACATTTCAGAAGTCACGGCTCCATCCCAAGCTTGAGGGCATCCATTGACCTACCTTTGATCGACGTAAAGGCTTCTCTTCTTTCTTCTTTGTTTTTGTCACAACTTGAGATTGGTCAGGCTTCTGGAAGTTTAGAAGGGGAAAGTATGAATTAGGTTGTTCTCTTTACAACCCAGATGTCAAATTCCCATATGCTCAATCTCCTTGTTTGTCCAGTCTCTAGACACAGAGACCACATCATGAATTCACTATAGAAATCCTCACTCCTCTTCCTGTGACTTTGAGTGGTCCAGCTGTCTCTTACCTTACTATGTCGATTGCCCATGACTTAGGGGAACAGATGGTTCAGGTCCCTTTAGGTCTGCAACCGCCAAGTTGCCCATGGTTAGGGACAAGATGATTCCATTACTTCCTAGTCTGCTCTCTGTGGCTCCAGCAGAAAGAGCAGAGGAAGGAAGAAAGCTGTGATGTCATAAGGGCAGCTATGATTGAAGCACCAAGATGGCTTCCAACAGTTGACATCTTTATGATAGTAAAAATGTGGAAATCTTGTCCATTCTTTCCTTTCAGAAAGGTCCAGATTTTTTGCCTACAAAGACAGGGCATTGGAAATACTGTCTTACTGACAGAAGCACATGAAGTTAGTAATTTCATTCTGATTGACAAAAAGCATAAAGCTGAGACAGTTTAAACACCCATCAACAGGGAACTCAATTACACAGACTTCAGTTCCATTAACAATAGGATAAAATAATGATTTGAAAGAATGAGTTTGGAGTAAAATTCTTAAACAGATGCTTCCCAAAAGGAGATTTACAAATGGCAAACAGATCCTTGAAAATATGCCCAACATCTTTAGTCATGAAACAAATGAAAATTAGAATCACAATGAGCTTTTTCCTCAGACCCTGGAGAATGGCTAAAATAAAAAATCTTGACAGCAGTAAATGTGTGACTAGCCCAACAGCCAAGGAGCCTCTTTGACAGTAGGGACAAGTGACAAGTGGCTTCGAGAGAGAAAGATGGGCACTGTCTCATGAGATTTACAGTGTCAGAAATCCAACAGAAGATTAGCTATTAGGAGGTTCCAACTCAAGGCCAATATGGTTTTTGAGATTGAATAACGAGCTCATGTGCACTACTGGTGGAAGGGTGTAAACAGTAGAACTAGTTTCAAAAATTAGTAGTTTCTAATAAGCTCAACATCAAGAAAACAAAGATTGTCACCACTGGGCCGACTGGCAGCATTATTATAGATGGTGAAGAGACTGAGAATGTTAAAAGCTTTAGTTTGCTTGGCTCCACAATCAGTACTCTTGGTACCAGAAGCGAGGAAATCAAAAGATGAATTGCACTGGGAAAAATCTGCTGTCAGGGACCTCTCCAGAGTACTGAAGAGTGACAATGTCAGTCTGGAGACTATGGTGTGCCTGATCCAGGCCATGGCCTTCACAATTGCTTGATATACATCAGAAAGCTGGACAATGACTAATGATAAAAGAAGAAGAATGATGCTTTTGATTTGTGGTACTAGTGATGAGTATTGAATATGCCATGGACTGCTAGAAGAACAAACAAGTTCATCCAGGAGAGGGTGAAACCAAGCTGTTCCTTAGAGACATGAATTTTGAAGCTCTGTCTGACATACTTTGGGCATGTTGCTGGAAGAACCAGTCCTTGGAGAAGGACATCGTGTTTGGAAGGGTATAGGTACAGCACAACAGAGGAAGATCCTGGATGAGATGGATTGACTCAGTGACTGGGATCATGAGAGTAGATGTGTCAGAGACAATGATAGAGGAGGGTTCAGAGCTGTTGTACATAGAGTTGCTATGAGTCGCAAGCAACTTGCCAGCACAAAACACCAATAGAGTTAAACAGATATCTACCATATAAACCGGCAGTTCTACTAGATATTTTCACAAAATAAATAAAAATGCATTATATGAAAGACTTGTACATGGGTGCTCACAGCAGCTTTATTTAAACTAGATCAAAACTAGAAACAATCCATATGCCATCCACAAGTGACTAGACAAAGAAATGGTAGTGTGCTCATACGTTGTTAGGTGCCATTGAGTTGGTTCTGACTCATAACAACATTAAACACAACAAAATGTTAGCTACCCACTCACTTGCCATCTCATAAGTATTGCTTTTGTTCTAGCTTATTGTTACAGCCACTGAGTCAGTGCTGAAGATCTTTGCCTTCTCACTGACCCTTTCTGCTTTATCAAGCATGTTCTCCAAGGACTGTTCCCTCTTTTTTCTTTCTTTTTTTTTTATTATTAAATTTTATTAGTTTCAATGAACATTCACAGGGATTCTGGGCTTTCACTCCTTCATTGCCGCACCATTCTCTCCACCCTCCTCCCCAGTTTGTTCTTCTTCCC